TTTTCCTCTAATCTCCGCGCGGCGTTGGGCTCTATTCCTGCGCATCGCGCCAGTTTGTCCCTCTCTAGGGGACGGGAGCCAAAGTCGTTTGTCGTCCGCCTCCTCGGCGAGCTGCGGCTTCTGCTCTCCTCTGGTCTCTGCTGCCCCATTGCCCAGAGCCTGGGCTCCCCACCCCCGTGACGTATTCCGACCCCTTCCGACCTGTCGCCCCCACCTCCACCACCACTTTGGTTGGAGACACCTTTAAGTCTCCCTGCTGTACCTCCCACCGCGGCAGTATTTACCTTAATTGGCGTGTTTGAAAGACTTAAATTAGAGCTTAAAGAAATTAAGATTTAAAAGCCTAAAATTTCTATCTAGGCAGAAGATTAAAACCTCAGGGGTGCTTATTTTAGTCTGTGTGTAAACTTAAACATATTGTACTGTGGAGTGCAATTTAAAAGACCAATTCCTAAAAATAGGATGCTGTAATGGAAATTTTGGCAGTCTACTGGGCAACGTTAGAAGACCCAATTCTTGGAGAGCGTTTTCAGGCTTTGAGGATCAAACTCAGAAAGAGCTTTACTCATTATCGTTCCCATCAAGGTAGAAAATTGCAGCCAATCACCTCCTTAGTTTAAAATACGTACGATCCTTTTTGCTTACTCTACAAGCGTAATTGAGCTTGGTGTTTAAATGCACAAGGAAAAGGTTTCTGAGGAATGTATTACCTAATAAACAGCCCGAAGATGATTTTCAGCTGATGAAATTCAGATGGATAAAGAATTGATAGGTAAACATGACCTTTTACGGATTACTAGGGCACGAAAGTATCTAGTCAACTGTGGTGGACACTCGGGACTTACTCATTGAGTTTAATGTCTTCAGGTTTTTCCTTCTACACAGTTTCTTTACTGAAAAATTTTAGAAGTTTGCATCTTCTCAACACCTGGGAGAGCCTCCCGCCCCCTTTAAAAATGTTTTCATAGATTTAGAAATACACTGAATGCTCCCCCAAGAGCCTTGGAGGACTAAATATTTTAAAAATCAAATAAAGCAAAATGATCTGTCTCTCTCTCTTGGGGGGGGTACCGGGGATCGAACTTAGGACCTTGTGCTCAAATCCCGGGCCCTAAAATGATCTTGGTGGCAGCCGAAGAACATGACCCACTCTAAAATATATTATTGAATTTCTCACTTTTAAAATATAGTTTTTAGGGCTGGTTGTATAGCTCAGTGGTAGAATGCTTGCCTCCCGGCTCAGAGCCTTGGGTTTGATCTCTAGCCACACACGTTCATAAAAATGCATATATACTGTAAGTAATAGTACTAAAAAAACACTTATTTTAAAATGCATTTTCTTATTTTATAATGCTTGGGGGCCAAAATAATAATAATAATAATGCCTGGGCACCAAAGTTTGCCTGCTAAGTCCTTGAGGAACTGAGCTAATTATTTTTTAATTTTGTTTTTCAGTATTTTCTTTTGTTCTTGGGAAAGATAATTCAGTTATAATTATTTATTTTTATAGTCTTTTTGCGTTTTTGTTTTTGTTTTTTGGTACCAGGGATCCAACTCAGGACCTTGTGTTTGCAAGGCAGGTGTGGTGCTGCTGAGCCAAATCTCTGTCCCCCTTTTTACAGTCTTAATGGTTCACTTGCTATGGTTGAAGATCCTTGAATAAGAGTTTTAAACAACTCTTTATGCTAAAAATATAAGAAATGACCATGTCATTTTAAACATGAATCTTATATATGTAATCAGTAGACTGACTTTATTAGAAAAACTTGGTTAGTATATTTTCTACCTCATTTTCTTAAAGGATATTGTTTTGCATCCTGTGTTATTTTTGCCTTTTCAAAGTTGTCTTTCAAATGGTACCAGGACAAAGTTCTGCAAATTATTTTTCTTATAAATTTATCTCGAATTGGAAAAGAAGGAAAATGCTGTTTTTTCTAGCTTTTTATTATTTTATTTTTTATTTTTTGGTTTTTTGAGACAGGGTCTCACTATGTAGTTGAGTCTGACCTGGAACTCACTGTGTAGCTCAGGCTGGTCTCAACTCAACAGTGATCCTTCTGCCTCAGCCTCCTGGAGTGCTGGGATTACAGGTGTGTGCCACCATGCCAGGCCTTCTTTTATTTTTTAAATGACAACTAACCTTGAGAAAAACCAAATGATAATTTTAGATTGTTATCAGAAGCAGCACTGTAGGTCTGTAGCAGTACCATTCAACAGAGATATGCTGCAAGCTCCATAAGTAATCTAAAAATTTCTAGTATTCACATTACCAAAGTAAAAAGAGGTAAGTTAATGATTTTTGTGTGCTTGTGTAGTAGCACTGGTGATTGAACTCAGGGCTTTCACACTGAGCTACATCCTTAGCCCTTTTATTAGTTTTTTTTGTTTTGTTTTGTTTCTTGAGACAGGGTCTCACTATGTAGTTCAGACTGCTCTGGAACTCACTGTATAGCCCAGGCTGGTCTCGAACTCTCAGCAATCCTCCTGCCTCAGCCTCCCAAGTGCTGGAATTACAGGGGTGCGCCCCCACGCCCAGCCCCTTTTATTAGTTTTACTTTTTAAATTTTATGACAGAGTCTCACTAAGGTGTTAAGTTGGCCTGGGCTGGGCTGGAACTCAGGGTCTTCCCTCCTCAGCATCTCAGAGTGCTGGGATTACAGGTATAAGACACCACATCCAGTTGTATGTAGATATCTATATCATTTCAAGTGATTAAGGTTGAAAATGAAATATTTTCCAAGCCAGCTATGGTGTGATACACACCTGTAAGCCCAGCACTCAAGAGGCTTAGGCAGGAAGTTTGACATAAATTCAAGGTCAGCCTGGGCTACATAGAAGTTTAAGGCCAACCTGAAGTAAAAAGTGAGACAGTATCACAAATCAAACAAGCACAACAAAAATAAGATATTTTCCATGATTTCATACTAAACCTGTAGATTGTAGTGTGTTTTTATTTTTATTACTCTCAGCTGCTGCCCCCTTCCCTTTTAATTTCAAGCAGGATCTGGCCCAGTTGCCCAAACTGGGATGAACTTGCAGTCCTCCTGCCTTAGCTCCCAAGTACTACCTGGAATTACAGGTGTGTGCCACTGCTGTGCCCAACTGTACTGTGTTTACATAAACAGAACATCACAGCTTGGACCAGCCGCATTCCAAGGGCTGAGTAGTAACATGTAGCTGTGAGGCTTGTCTCATTGGGTAACAGATCTGTAGCATTGCCATTTAATACTGATTCTGTGGGGGTAAATGAAAAACTCCTTTTTAAAAAGTACTTTGTTATTCAAACAGAAGATTTTATACCAAGAGATTTCTCAGAAGTCTCTTTCCTCATAGCGTTGATTGTACTTCAGTAAGCACAGGTGCCCAACTTGTTTAGGGAGGGTCATAAAATGAGTAGAGTACTCAGTCATTTCCTGCGTGTCATTGTTACACTGTATTTACATCTGTGTATCAACAGTGTGTCTAGGCACTGTGTAAGTCTGCCTACTAAATCTCTTGACTTTGAGTAGGGAGAACTAGGAGGGAGAACTTCCTACGAGAAGATTGGACTTAATTGTGAACAAGTAAGGTACTTGTGCTGTAGTTATTTTTTGAACTGTTTCAGATATGGCTCAAAGTCTTAGAAATGTATTGTAATGTTTAATGTCTACATTTACTTAATGTCAAAATTAGCCTGAAGGCCTAGTTAATATTTATTGTAATTTAGTACAGGAGACACGCCCTATTCCCAACCTTTATTGTGTTAAAGAAATTTTATATTTCAGTAAACAAATACTTTGTAAGATCTAGTCTTTATAGATCTGGCACATTGGAAGGCAGTGTGTGGAGAATTATAAGACTGAACACACAATTGTATGATGAGATAGTTATCATGGTGTTTGTTTTGTGTGAAAGGTGCAAAGTACCTTCTGTAGGAAAATGCAGTGTTTTCATTTGCATTTAAACTGGGTGGCTATCACTTGGCACCATTTCAGTAGAAAACACAGCTGGGGAGAAAGAAATAGGGATATGTAGGGGATTGTGGGAAGTAGAGATACAAAGTAGCAAATAAGCAAAATGAACAGGTGGAAAGACCTAATGTACAGCATGAGGAGGACCACAGTTAATATGTTCATGGTCTGGGCTAAGTGATTATATTACATCATCTCCTGCCACAAGAATGGAAATGTTTAATTATGTGAGATGATTCTGTTTGACTAGATAGCCATTTTACTATATGTCTTATGACATCATATTGTTATATTTTAAATATTCACAGTAAAATTTATTATAAAAAAGAAAGAGGTGCCACCTGCCTCACAAGCGCACAGTCCCAAGTTTGATCCCCGGTACCAAAAATACAAAAAACAAAAAAACTAAAGCAAAACAAAAACAACAAAAAAGACAGGGCCAGGGATATAGCTCAGCAGCGCAGTGCCTTTCTGAGAAGCTCCAGGTCCTGAATTCGACCCCCAGTACCAAAAAAAGGAAGAAGCAAACAAACAAACCAACGTGGATGCCCTTAAATCCTAGAGACTCAGGAGGCTGAGGCAAGAGGATCACTTGAACCTATAATTTCCAGACCAGCCTGGGTAACATAGTATGACTTGTCTCAAAACAAAAAGAAAAGAAAAGAGAAAGAAAACATGCTGCTTGAATTCTGCAGATTACCCTAATTTATTTTAGTTATTTATGGAAGGATAGTCTGGCAATTTTCAGTTTTTTTGAAAAACCTTTATAAGATTTAAAGAACTTCCAAAAGGATTATGTTCTTACTGATACATTCTAACTTTATATTTCTTGATTCTGTTATAGCATACTCTAATTTAGGACCTTTATGATTCATATA